TATAGCTTTGAAAAGGGTGGAATTTCTAAGGCAATACAATCAAGCCAAGGTTGAGGCCTTATACCAGTTTGTCTTCCTCGATGAAACTTGGATATTTCAAAATGGGACCATAGGTCGCTCTTGGCAAAATGGAAACCAAAAAAGCGTGAAAGCTATTAAAACAGATGGTAAAAGGTATGTACTTTTACACAATTTGCACTATAAAATTTAAAACTAATATATTTTAGATACATTATATTACATGCTGGAAATAAAAATGGGTTTATTGAGGGTAGTGAAGCGATATTTTCTTCGAAAACAAAATTGAGCGATTACCATGGAGAGATGAACCAGGACAATTTTTTGAAATGGTTTCAACATCAGTTATTAGAAAAATTGGAGAGTCCATCTATGATTATACTGGATAACGCCCCTTATCACAGCATGATATTGAACAAAGTGCCCAACAATGCATGGACAAAAAAAAATATCCAAGACTGGTTGACAAATCAAAACATACCATTTTTAAACACAATGTTTAAAACAGAGCTATTGAGTATTGTTGCTCGGTACATAATGCTTCTTAATTATATATATTTTGGTCGACAGTTTATATTTCTTTTGTTTATTCCTATTCTTAAAATAACTGCTTTTTTAGAAACAAACCACCTAAAATATACGTGATTGATGAATTGGCGGAACAACATGGGCACAAAGTTCTTCGTCTGCCTCCTTACCATTGTATATTTAACCCTATTGAGTTAATTTGGGGCATAGCAAAAGGTTACTATAACAGACATATTGGTAGAGATGGTAACAGTGAAAAAGACTGTTTGGATATGTGGAACGAGGCTCTACAAACGGTTACCCCAGGCATGTGGAAAAATAGTGTTCGACATACTGAGCAAGAAATTTTTAAATGGTATGAAAGAGAACGAATTTTTGATCGACCAGACATCGAACCTTTAATAATCAACTTTGAGAGTGATGAAGATTCAGATTCAGACAGCGCTGAAGAAAGAAACTCCGACTAACTTTATTGTACAGAAAAAGCTTACACCAGTAGCTTACCTAATTTTAGAATGCATTTTTCTGTATGAATTCTGTAAAATAAATACCATGCATAAAATTTGGAGGACCCCATTTGGATTTTTATTCAGTACCTTTAAGCTATCAATTAAATATGGTAGTTTCATAGTGTCATCTGATCAATAATTGTCATACTTAATGATTATGCAAGTACAGATCTATAATTTTATTATACTATTATTTTTGTTCTCATTTGAGGTTAATATTGCTTATAAACCTAGATATGTAAATAATAAATTTTATTATTTTACAAAAAGTTTGGCAACAATGTAAATTTTTCAACACACCCACCTTGATGACGTGCACGCCACTTTGTTTGGCGTTGACTATAGTTGTTTGTGGATATGGGTTTTAAATAGTTCGATCCCTTGGCAACCGAAGTGAAAGTGAGGTGGGATGGTATACAATGATCCTTGGTGATGCTTGAGTTATATCGTATCCGTGGTAACATAGCGTACGTTCATTCAATTTCTGAAACTTCAGTGACCCACTGAGAGAGTTCCATGAATTCCCGAGTCGAGAAAGGCAATCGTGAAAACACACTGAATGTCTAAGAAAAAAATTGTCTGGGAACTTTATACATTTATGGAGCTTCGCAGTCTAATCATTATGTAAGGTTCTAGCAGTTAGTAATTACCAAGTAGCGGACGGAGATAATGTCAGACGTAACTCGCAAATATCCGTGTGTTTGATATTAAATATCTCAGAGGTAGTAATGTGAATATCCATATACAGGGTTTGTCCGGAAAGTAATAGGACTGGGTCGATTTAAAAAAATTATTGAGCCAATCGATACAGTTCTTTAAAAACTTTCAAAATAGGCTCCATTTGCGTCGATGCCGTGCTGCCAGCGCGATTTCCAAGCATTGAAGGCGTCACGGAAGGTATCCTCCGGAATAGCCTTGAGAGCCGCGGTGCATGCTGCTTGGATCCCTTCTGTTGTCTCAAAATGCTTGCCTTACATCGGCCTTTTCAGGCGAACAAACAAAAAAAAGTCCGTGGGGCGACATCTGGGCTGTAGGGCGGCTGCGGAAGATGCCGGCCTTGATCAGGTAGCTGTTCACAAGAAAGGCAGTGTGAGCCAGTCTTGTTGGACCCAACTGACCCTTTGTTTGAGTCTCCTGATCACTTCCACGTAAAACTTGGCGTTGATGGTTTGTTCAGGAGGAACAAATTCATGGTGGACGATGCATTTGATGTCAAAAAAGACAATGAGCATCGTTTTCACTTTGGATTTGCTCATTCTTCCCTTTTTTGGGCGAGGAGACGCCGTCGTGTGCCTCTCGGAGGATTGCTTCTTTGTCTCGGGATCATACTCAAAGATCCACGACTCGTCACATGTGATTACGTTATTCAAAAATTGAGTGACACTTTCACACATGTTCAAATTTTCTTGGCACACTCGCTGCAATTTCTGGTCGTCAGTGCAACGCTGCATTTTCGGCTTGCACCACTCACAGAAACACGTCGCGCGAAAATGCCTGTCCTGACTCTCCAAGTGCTCGGAGACAACTGACCAGCCGCTCATTCGTCAGCTAGGAACGCCCTCTACCGAATCCAGTCGCTGCGCGAAGTACAGTCATGGAGGAAGAAAATGAGTCTTATTACTTTCCGAACAAACCCTGTATGTCTTGAAGATTGTCGCGTGAATGGCGATGTTGCCAGGTGTACTAGATGTTGACGAAACGTAGCTGTTCGGTGATGTAGCTCCGTTCTGTTGATATACCAAAGAACTCTTCTCCTCGATACGGCAATATGATGGTTGCGGCTGCAAAACTTGTTCTAAGTACTAAACTTTTCAGATAGCCCACCTTGAATGCTACGTGTGGGTGAATGACACAATAAACGGTTTACAGATACTGGGAGGGAGGGGGTGGGGGGCGTAGGTTACAAATTAAAAAACTCACTCGAAATTCTTTTAAAACCTAGATGTTTCGGGGGAGTACAGACCCCCATGACACACCCCCTGGATCAGACGATGATGGAGATTATTAAGGATTTACCTATACTATAACTATCTAAAACTGTAATGACTCATCGATGTTCACGTGAACATCACTTAACTACCAGTAGTCGGCTGTTCGTAGGCGGGGTATGAATGTTTAACATGGGTGAACTAGATTTGTCACATGCTTAATAAAGAGTGGTTTGAAACATATTGTAAGTCAAAAATTTGGGAATTACCTTTATTCATCGTCGCTTCCACTTACATCTGACAGTCATAAACTGTCGCTATCGCTTTCCTCGTTGAAATTGACTATAACTGGCTCTATGATGGTGTCGATGTGGTGGTCAAGCTGCCACATTTTTGTTTCTTCCTTCACAACATGACGGATAGCATTCTGTCAAGCTTCGGGCGTTACTAGCTGTATGGAAGTCTCAAGTAAAACCTTAACGTCTGGTAATTTGAAGGTTGTGTTATGGCGCGCAATATAACCCTTCACTTGAGCCCAGATGAGCTCTATTGGGTTCAGTTCACAGTGGTAGGGCGGTAACCGCAGCACAGTGACACCACATTGACGGGCCATCTCATCAGTCACGTAACTAATGTTCGCAGGTTTGTGCTGTTTAATTTTTTCATACGATTCCGCTTTCACACATGAATCGTCAAACGGGATTCCTTTTTCGCGCAACCATTGCTGCATGTCACTTTTTCGAGATCCCATAGTCGGTACACGTTCGGCTCGACGACTGTGGTAGGAAGCATTATCCATGACGATCACAGAGTTGGGCTCAACTCGCTGAAGCACCCCTTGAAACCAGCTCTCGAAACAGCTGGCATTCATTTCGTTATGGTAATCATCTCCTTTCTTAGAGACGAAAATCAAGTCACACTCTTCTAAAAAGCCACTATCGCTACCAATATGAGTTACGATCAATCTTTGACCTTTCCCTGACGGTCCACGAAGACCTGTTGACAAACCTTCAATGCTTGCTTGTCGGTTACTCACTACGTTTTTGTCTATCCAGGTTTTTTTAACTGTGTGACCTGCATTTACCCATGTCTCGTCCAAATAATAGATTTTTCTGCTTTGTCGCCTATATTCAATCGTTTCGCGTAGGTAATTTCGACGCCAGGCGACTATTTCAGGTCTCTCTATCAATACTGACTTCCGATTACGCGTTTCGTAACGAAAATTAATTTCTTGCAGGGATTTCCTCATTACCTCGACGCTCATTTGGGGTATAATTTCATTTTCCTTGATCGCTGCATGTACAGCCTTGTGGGCTGGTATCTCATTCCTAAAGAAGAATGAATGTACGGTTCGCCTTAACGCCATTTTGCTATCGTCATCCAATTTAACGGCCTTTCGTCCCTTCAAATTAAACTTTGGATCAGTAGTAGCTCCAGTTTTCTTCTTTTCATGCACCACCCTGCGAATGGTCCACTCTGGAACGCTTGTCATACTTTCACAACGCGCGAGTGCATTTCCCTGCGACATACTTCTGTTCAGATAATTGAACACGTTGAGCACGATTTCTTTCGCGTCCCTCTTCAGTGCTTTACGAAGTCGTCTACTTGTTCCCTGGCTTTCAGTACTTCCACTTGTGCCATTTGTACTCTCCATGGTTAAGTATAACCAAAACAGTAACCACAGAAACCACAACAATAACAATCACACAGCAATTCTTATAAAAACACACAATATGCGATCGCTCAACGAAACACGTTCCAATGCGTTGCCGACGCCTATGAGTCTTTGATTTCATTGGTTCTACCGGCGGAGAACAATCAGCCATTATTTCCATCTCTGTCTGTGCTGTTGACCACCGCAAAGCCACAGAAACGACATATGTCGTACGCTATATGGCTGTACTGGAAGGAAGCCGGGATCGAGCTCTGATCACGTGTTGATCACGCGTATGAGTCATTACAGTTTTAAATAGTTGTAGTGTAGTTTGTTCGATATAAATATAGTATACACACTTACGTTGGATGACTGAGAGGCACCTCCAAGATGTACTCCTTAGGTATGTCGAAGTAGTCAGGATCGTGGCCATTCGCGCTGAGCACTATGGGCAGTATGTCCCATTTTCCTCCTGTGCCTTTCCATCCCAGCCTGGTGCAGATCTCCGTGAATTCAACGTTGATGGGATCACCGATCACAGAACCGTCGGGTTGTTTGTAGCCTGCGTAGCCGATCAGCTGCTGGTTCCAAACCCGGAAGTCGTGCTTGTTGTCTGTTCGTTGTGGAAATACCGTTATGGCAGACCTGGAACAAAAATGAATTGCATGGTGAAAACAGCGTCAAGTAGGTTGACTCTGCACTTCTCAGGCAACGCTGTCACCATGGATTATATAGTAACAAACATCTCAGTCCAATCTGCATGTGAATGCACTCGATCGTTGCGTTCACTTTCAAATATTTCAACGACTTTCCTCCCCGCCCCCTGAACATGAATCTTGAGACCACCACTGCGCTGCTTCTAAACAGATTAGTCCATGCGACACCAACGTATACAAAAATTTTGATGCGCCTGTGGGATTTTCTCACGAAGAATCTGGCAACACTGTACGGCGGCCACTAATCGCATCGGGCAGTCTGCGGCGCAGAAACGGATACGCATGTATTGAAAATATTTATATCATTCTACGTTTTGAGAGGAAATGTTCGGGGAAATGAACTATATGCGAAATATGCCGCTTAGATGCTCTAGTACCTTTATAGTTTTGTGGCGATAAACATGTCCTACGTCCTTATGCCAGGGCACAAGGACGTAGGGTAAAATGAACATAAGTGAAAAAGGCATTTATGATTTTACGGAAATTGAAATTATGGGTTTTGGATACGCATGCAGTATTTGAATTAGTTTTCTTACGTTCGGGTAAGTACAGTATTGGTCGGCTATGGAAACCCTTACAGCTTGTCATGTAATAGAATAAATTTGATTAAAAGAAAACTATTGTGCGCTTTACTTCGTTTTAAATACCCGAGAACAACTTTCCTAAGCGCTGGTATTATTTGTTTGAAGAAAAGGTACCAAAGACAGATCAGATCGGAAAGGTTTCTGATTCAGGCGTGATATTTGACAACAGGTTGTATTTTGACTATCTCATTTCTAAAATTGTAAGTAGTGCTAATAGAGCTTTAGGTTTTATTGTTCGGAACTGTAGGATTATTAAAGACTTGACTGCATTAAAAAAATATATTATAAATTGCATATGTACGTTCCAAATTGCAATATGCTTCGTTGGTTTCGAGTCCTTATTATAACTGTAATATAAATCGAATCGAGGATATTCAAAAGAAATTCATTAAGTATCTCGTTCTCAAGATTGATTCAGTTTATTCTCAGCGTGAGTCAGACTACGAAGGATTTTTGAAAAGACTCTGACTTGCCTCCTTGGGTGAGATAAGAAAACACAACTCCGTCGTCGTCATATATAAACTTTTGCGTGGTGTCATTGATTCTTCAGAACTGTTATCCCAGCTCCAATTCTTTGTTACAAGGACATGTTATAGAAACAATACCTTCTTTTCTCGCACTCGTGAAAATGCCAGTTCTAAAATCTCGTGTAAGAGTCATGTGCATGATCTTCAACAGTATATGCAGTATTTGTGATATCTTTCTGTGTTCTCTTCCTTAACTCAAGATGATTTCATTTCAGCAACCAAAATAACGTTATACAATTACTTTATTTATTCTCTTAAATTTGAACAAATTGGTATTGTTCCTTTATTGATACGAGGGATGTCTTTTAAGTTTTGCATATGGAAATAAAACAACACGGTAGGTAGTTTTAAATGACTTTATTGTTTTTTGAAGTATTCTCCACGAAGATTAATACACATCTGCATGCGCTCGGACCAATTTTCGAAGCACTTATTCTACTCGTTTGATGGCAGATCCAAAACGGCATTTTTGAATGCGTCAACTGCTTCTTCTGGTGACTGGAACCTTTGACCACGCAGTCTGTTTTTAATTTTCGGGAAAGTAGATAAATCGTTAGGACTTAGATCGCGACTATATGGAGGATGGTCGAATAATTCCACGTTTTCTTCCGTTAAATACTGCCTTATTTTTTGGGCTGTGTGCGAGCTTGCATGGTCTTGGTGGAGGATGATTCTTCTTTCGGGGTTGATTTTTCGGAGCTCGGTGATGATTTTTGGCAAACAAATGGTGGTATACCAATCCTCAGTAACAGTTCTTTGCTCACTAAGAGGAATTGTTGCAATATGACCCGCTTTTGACACAAATGTCGCGACCATCTTTTTCGAAACACCTCGAGAACGAATGACTTTTGTTGGCTTTTCTTCAGCCTGGAATACCCAAACAGCCGACGGTCGTTTATTTTCTGGTTCATAACAGTAAATCCACGAGTCATCACCACTAAAAATGCTGTACACATTTTTTGAGTTTCCGGAATTGAAACGGTCAAGCGTTTTTTGACACCAATAAACCCTGGCTGCTTTCTGCTCGTCAGTCAACAGGTGGGGTATCCCACGAGAAACTAATTTTCTTACTCCTAATTCTTCATGTAAAATTTTTTGAATTGAGGTCTTTGAGATCTTCAAGGACGCCTCAATCGCACGATATGTCACATGTCTAGCTTCAATGATGAGTTTGCGCTCAGAATCGACGTTTGGTGACTGCCGTTTTTGGTGCACCCACCCTGGGATCGTTGCTAAGAGTCACTCGTCCACGTTAGAATTCTCCATACCAACGGGAAATTGTCGACTGATGTGGCGCTTCGTTGCCGAAAACAGACAGTAACTCAGCAAGGCGTTCTGGTTGCGATAATTGTCTCTGAAAGTTGCAATGATGGCGCGAAAATGTTCTCGGTTGAGTTCCATTTTTCTAATGACTTGGTGACACTTAAAAATTCACTGTAGTGAAAACACTGCACGTATTGTTGTGAAACTTTGAATTTAAGTTTACTGAAGAATGAGGTTAAGATTCAGTACTGACGTTCGATCCGCGCGGTCTACTATGTTTATATATGCAAAACTTAAAAGACATACCTCGTATAGCAGATTTCAATTCCTTGTCCTGTAAATGGAATTGCAAGTATAATAATTCTGTTGGACAATAGATGCTATTATTACGAGTATTATTGTCGTCAGATTCTCCAGTCCTCAAAATATTTTCATATTCGCAAAAGACTGGTGAACGTCTATTTGTTACTTCACACCTGAATAACTCTAGCCCTAATGTTGTCAATGTACCTGATTATTTCTATTTAATAAGTTATATTGCCCTGGGGGCATCATTGACCTCTTCTCAGCTGTTCAGGTAAAAATTCGAAGATCAAAGAATAGTGGACGGACTGGCAGACAAATGGAAATGGATGACGTGGTTTTTCATAATGTCACATAACATTCCAGAAACAATACTATACAGGGTGTAAACGTTATGGTAGTCATTATTGAAATGGGCAATTGGGGGTCAAAACAAGACAGAAAGTTCATATGACCCATGGTCCAAGAGTCAATAGATTTTTGTCTAAATGGCTTTATGGTTTACGACTTTCAGTGCTTTATATCGACCACAATCTAGCTAATTTTTATAATTTAATCTAAAACGTTTTTAAATTGGGTAATTAACAAATAAATGGAATCAAGTTTTTCTAAGTAAGGCCAAAATTTGTAGTCAGTAGGTAAGTAAGTTTCATTAAATTGAATATTTAAAACACACATGACCATAGCGCGTCGGTCATCATCACTCTTATCGAACCGGCAATCGATCGCAAACGGTAACAGTGGTTAGTTATCGGGCCTGTTGTTTTGATTTTGTTCGCGTACGTCGTCGTCTTTATTTACAATGTTCTCGAATCAAGAGTTCGCCGACATGTTGTTAGTTTACGGTGAAGCTCGTTAGAGTTCAAATCTTGCAGCTCAAACGGGTACACCCAGACAGAAGGACATTTGTGCAAGTGTACCAAACACTTCGAGATACAGGAAGTCCATAGAGTCCTACGGGAAAATTTGCCATGTACAATGAGTGCAGGCCTTGTTACCAGAAGACTATCTTCGCAGACCAACATTCTGTCAGTGGTGCTTGCACAAAAACATTGAAAATCCGGATTTTTTTAAAAACATTCTAGCGACGGACGAATGTACTTTTACGCGAGACGGGATATTAAATTTCCATAATACTCACACGTGGGCCCAAGAAAATCCTCATACCATTCGTGAAGGTCATTTCCAACAACATTTAAAAATAAATATTTGAGCAGGTATTCTTGACGATCAGGTAATTGGCCCTTTCAAGTTACCCCCAAAGTTGTCAAGAGAAGGATACCTTAGCTTTCTAGCCAATAACCTACCAGAACTTTTGGAACAGACCTTAGACAACATGCCATTACAACGGAGACAGAATTTGTGGTTTCTTCATGCCGGGGCACCACCAGACATTTTTAGAGGCGTCATTCAGTATTTGAATGAACATTATCCAAATCGCTCGATCGGTCGAAATACTCCTGATCCTCGAAAATGGCCAGCAAGATCACCTGACCTCAATCCGATAGATTTTTGGTATTGGGGAGAACTTAAAGGGATGGTTTATGGGGCTGGTCCAATAACAACTGAAGCACAACTTCTCGAAAAAAAATTTAATCCAGCTGAAATAGTAAATAGACAACTTCGAGGACCTAGACTAAGAAGAAACTGGGTTCGTCGTAATGAAGCTTGTGTGGAAAGTGGAGGACGACATTTTGAACACCTTCTTTAAATACAAAAAAGTGCAGTATGGGTTTTAAAAAGAAAAACAATGTATGTATCAAAATTGTCTTCCCTATTTATTAGTGGATTTTTTAATACGTTCATTAAACTTTCACATACCAAGTGAAGTGCTGAGACAGTTAGTGGTAAGTCCGTTTTTTTTAATTGTTTGTATCTTACGAGTACATTATCAAATATTGAGATAATACCTAAGAGCCAAAAATAACAAACTCCATCTTTATTTACACTGCCTTTCGTCGTAATTTGCGGCGTTGTCAGATTATGTTTTAATTTAATGTCGCGTTTCTCTAAAAAAATGCCGTTTTGTCCCACATTTTATATGAAACTTTTTGCTTCTTTTATCACCCATTTACATAATGACTATCATAACATTTACACCCTGCATTTTCGAAATGTTTTTCGATTACAATATCCCCTCGCCAGTAGGCACGGGGAATAAAAACCAAGTTACGCTGATTTTTGATTCTTTGTTTTTTGCTCGAAGCTCGCAGCTAGTAATAAGCAGTCTAAAGAAAAAGACCCTGTTATAC